CAGCTACAAAATGCCTAGGTGTGAACGGGGACATAATATGGCAAAGAACAGTGTTCACAGTAATCCATAAAACCAATCATCCCTCATCTGTTATTGATCTTGCTGTTCTGAAATGATGGAATGTGACAGCTGATTGGTTGTTGTAAGTTACTGCTATTGTTTTAATAATTAATCCATAAATTATATTATGTTTTAACTTCTTATTATAATATCAAAAGTAATTTTCAATATTTTTAAGATTCAGCTTCCAATAAAATAATAACTTGTGTTCCTGTCATGAAGGTCCTTGTGTTCCTGTTATAGGATGACAACACTCTGTCCCAGTCTTCCTGCTGTGCTCCTGCATTGTTACCCTGTCATAGAGGCTTCCAATGGAGACTACAAGTGGTGGTTTCAAAACACATTACACAGGAATGGTCCACTTGTCATCTTTAAGAAACCTGCCCCGAGAAATGACATGCAGCCATCGATGGAGCATGCCTTTGCCTTCAAATCAGTGCACCTTCTAGTATTTTAGTGTGCCCAAGCACTCTGTGCCTACAACGCCTAACTTCATATCTACAGTGTAAGATTTAAAGCGGACCTTTACCCATACCCAGGCCCGACGCTACCACAAGGCAAGTCAAGAGGGCGCTGAAGGGGTGAGGGCGGAAAAACCAGGGCATTTTGACAAGTACTTGTACTTGTCAAAATCCCCCCATGCTTGCACTATGTTTTTTTTCCCTTCACTTACCTTCGGTGCGGGGGAGCAGCGGCGAGTCAGCGCTGGTCCGGTGGGAGGAGCTCAGGGTGGGGGTCCTAATTTAGCTGGCAGGCGACTGCCAGAGGATCCCGACACGCACGGCACCTCTGGCAGTCGCCGGCCAGCTAAGTTAGGACCCCACCTGGAGCTCCTCCCACCGGACCAGCGCTTACTCGCCGTTGCTCTCCACCACAGTGCTGACTACAACCTCACTCACCTTCATCGAGCAGTAAGTGAGGGCAAAGGGGGTCCCTATTAGGAACTAATGATTATTAGCAGGTGATAATTGTACATCTATTGTCTGCAGTGTGTACTCTATATGTGCTACATATAGAGTACACACTGCAGACAATAGATGTACAATTATCCTCTGCTAATATGAATGGATGAAATGATCCATAGTACATAATAGGTACATAACATGTAGTTGTACTACGGATCATTTAACCCATTCATGTTAGCAGGAGAGAATTGTAAATCTGCTGCTGCAGTGTACTGGACGTGTGTGCTGTATATGTACTATGGATCATGATTTAACCTATTCATGTTAGCAGGGCAGAATTGTGAGCGCCTCCCACAAGCTGAGCACCGAGACGCGATGCAGCGATCCTGCCCAGCGACGTCTACAAGAGGCACCGTGTGAGGCACCGCGTGAGGCAACAGGGATCGGAGTGAAACTGTGAGTGAGGGAAGCTGGGACGGGGCTGGCTGTAAATCCATTGCTATAGTGTACTGGACGTGTGTAATGTATATGTAGTACATATATACAGCACACACCTCCACTACACAACAGCAATAGATTTACAATTCTCCCCTGCTAAACATGAATAGATTAAATCATGATCCATAGTACATAACATGTAGTTGTACTATGGATCATTTAACCAGTTAGTGTTAGTGAATAGGGAGTGCAGCTAGTGTTAGTGGATTATATTTTGCGGTTCTCCGTACTGTTACGTCGGGGGGCAAAAATGCACCTTCGCCTGTGTAGGCAAAAATCCTTGCACCGGCCCAGGGTCCTGCTCAACATATTTTGCGGTTCTCCGTACTGTTACGTCGGTGTGTTTGACAACAAACATACCTTTAGAAATGTTTAGTAATGACAATCTACAACCATATACTCCTAGATAATTGCCGGCTTTGTATTCTTTGCATACCTTATTTTTCTTTTCTTCCCCAGTCTTCTGACGGTGGCCATGTTTACTAAGGGCAGATTACTAGATCTCCCTTTACTTCCTGGATTTCTGGCACTTGTGACTAGGACATGTGACCATGCACATTATCTCCGGGGAGGATAATGCTTTTCCCTGAGATGAGATTTCTCAGCAATGCTCTGCTGATGACAAGGCAATCCCAGTGTGCATTGCTTTTGCCAACTGAAGTAATTTGCACTTTCAAAGCAGAAAGTGAATGCTCTGCAAGTGTAAGTATAAAAAAATCACAGCATTTTACACCTGACATTTCTATGTTATTATTAATCGTCATACATAGAGGGATGCGTTGGTAAAATGTCATTTGTGAGTGTAAAGGTCCGCTTTAAAGCAATAACAAGGATTACAAAGGGCGAAAAGAGCTGTAAGCTGTGTGTGTCTCCACAAACACACAAGCAGAGCAAGGCAATCCCTCCCATGCTCCTCTCTGTTCCCTTTTCCAAGCTTGTAGATGGACAGCTTTGGGAGACTGCTGTTTCTTGTGGTCTTGTACTTGACAGGAAGTTCAGGGAAGCTGAGCTGAGAGAGTGAGAGTCAGCTGTTTAGAAACATGATGACTGCAAGTTCTTGGGAAAAGATCTAAAGAAAATCCTCACTGGGTGATGTACATTTGCTTGGTCTGGATTCACTACTGAAAAAATATTTCAGCATTTAATACTAAAAAAACTAAAGAACTTTCATTTGCATATTTGCACATATTTGCACATGACGAACATTCACAGATTTCCACGGGGTGAATGACCCTGCAAATTGTTTATAAATCAACCCCATGGTATTCTAGTAAACTAGATGTCATCAATTTAGGGGTATCTCTCTAAAGTGAACCTGTAGGAATATGATGGCCACCACCAAGCCTCACATGTTATTTTTAAAACTGCAGGCTTCAATGCTAAGATCTTGATCCTGGTTTTATTATCCAAACTGCGGGTTTGTCTGCATCAGGTGACAGTGCCAGAGCATGGAAGTTCTCAGTAGTGGCAGCTTAATTCTGTCCTAACGGGCTCCTTTAATAATCCTGTGGTTATTCTTCATTCAATTCACAGAGTAAGGAAAATATATTAATATTACAGGTTTTATTTACAGAGGTAAAACCTCACAAATGCTTCCCATTGTAATCAGGAAACTGTAAAATGTGAACATGACTCATTAACTTTAAAAACCCTGACATTTGTAATGAATGAGTACTGGTGTGCTAAATTACCTGCTGGCTTCTTATGAACTTGTAAACCATTTTTTTCTGCAATAGTTTGTGTATCTGTCCCCTTCCACCAGGCTTTACTGAGTGCATCACTCTCTTTAACCTGGACTCTATACTATTTATGATATGAAGAATGAATTGCAGGAACATGACACCAATGTTTAGATATGGTATACTAATGAAACATGGGCATATCTGGGAATTCTGTCTTCAGAAATATGTTCATGTGTGTTCAGCATGGTGAACCCCGCCAGGAACAAGCCGACAATAATATTTTTTTGTGATGGTTACCTTTAAGTTATAGTGCACAGGAGGCTTTATTTCAATTTTTTGTTCACATTCATAAACACAAGAGAAGTCTACTTTGTACAAACATTAAATATTAAAGGAAACATAAACTTTTAAAGATAACAATATCCAACCTAAAATAATATTTGGTATAAAAAGAGTATGAAAAAAGAAGTATGCATAATATAAAACTAATTAGGTGTAAAGTCCTTCAAGTTGGGAGGTTGATAGAATTGTTAAAGCTTCTGGTACTACTTTGGTTGCCCCTGAATATTATCAAAGCAGGGAAACAAATGGTCATAGATGATTTATGTGTGCTTGAGAGGTCCGTTGCCCTGACTGTAGGGCCTAATATGTCAGTGACGGTGCTATGATCTGAAGAGGGATATTGAGACAGAGTGATGTTATACAGTAAATGGCAAAGGGTAAACATGCCTCTTTCTTTGGGCCTTTTTTGGTTTTACTAATATGTACCAGTGCTGACAGGGCGGCAAGTCTTCTTCAATGATTCCCAGAGTTAATATAGCTGACATTTTTCAGATCACCCCCATAGTTCTTGATTTGACCATGTAAGCAGCTATTGTGGAAACTATTTTTTTAGGTTTTTAGGAGAGAACGCAGGGACAAATATGATCAACTGGAAGGAAGAAAAGTTGATAGCATATCTGGTCACTACTGTATTCATTACTATATTTTTTATATTTATTGTAAACATGGAGTATAGTATTAGTGTGGAGGTAGTATTACTGTGCCATGGGCTGCCTTATTTTGATTGACCTCAGAGCCATAAGCAATCTACTGATTCACAGACTAGATAAAGCTACTATGTGACTTTTCTGTGCCTGAGCACAGGTATGTAATGCCATGCTACAATGCTATTTATGTTTGCTTTTACTGATTGCTATACATAGTATGGTAACTGACAGCATTCTTAGTTAAGATCTGAAAAGTTGTTCTACCGTAAAAAAAAATGGGTATTTCACATTTTCTATTTTACTTAATGCAACCTATTGCTTTACATTATCACCCATTATAAATAAGCCAAAGAAAATCTCCAATGCCATGCAATAGGACTTCATGTAGCAAACGATAGTTCCCTCAGCTATGTCCACAAACTCTTAAATTGTGATCAGTTCTTGAAGCTTTTCACATTCCAGTAAATGTAAAGTCTTGTGGAAGTCAAATTTTTTTTTACAATTTTTTAAGACTGCAGAGTGTCTTCTGAGAAGCATACCATCTTGTTTTATATTGGCTGCATATGTGCTGGGCTTGTTTTCTTCAAGTGGAATGACAGGAAAAGCAGAATTTTGTTTTAAGCAGACTATGTAGAGAGTCTATCCAGGGGGCATTGTCCTTTTGAATCAGAACTTTTTTTCCTTCTGGTGTATTTAATATATGAATATGAGTGTTATGAGTGCCACTGTTGTGAGCAAGCTGGGCAACAGAGTGCAATCAGGATCTCCTAGATGACTTTCAGGATAATAAAAACCACAAGATCAAAGGAAATTCTCAAAGTATCAAGCATACGAAGAGCCCAGCTTACATTCATAATTCTGTTCTTGTAGGATAAATCCCAAAACAATGAGGATAATCCTCCTAATATTGGCCAGAAACTGACTTTGTTATATCTTTACTTCATGCTAGTGCTATTTCCAAGAGATGACTGTTCAGTGTCATCATCCTTAAACACTCTAGTAAGAGCTTCATTGACTGAACCGCCAAACCTTTTTTTCCTGTGCCTGCCCACAAAAAAATATATGAAAGGATTGGCACTGCTATTGAACACAGTACAGTATGTACTAGTGAAGAAGAAGGCCAGTGCAGACATTGTGTTTGCAAATGATTTAAAGTAGAGTAAAGACCATAGCAATCTGATTGGCGCCACAGAGATGAGAAAAATCATAACAGTGAGTATTATGGCCACGTAAATTTTTGGAGGTCGCGATTTTTGGGATGTGGATTTGACAATATATATAAGGATAAAACTGGATAAGAGCATCAAAGGAATGATGAAAACAAATGTAAGAACGGTGGAAAACACTTGGACTCCAGTGCATTCCTTAGTCATAATTTTAAAGGATTCTGCAGGACAAACAAAATTATCAAGTAGGGACAAGAGGGCACCCAACATCCAGATGAAGCCACAGGTGAAGGATGATAAATGCTTGGGCCGGTAACATTTGTACCATATGGGGAAGAGGACAGAAAGGCATCTCTCAACACTTATTGCGGTCAGGAAGAGCATGCTTGCGGCATATCCAAAGTCATACATCACTTCTAGAGCAAGTAGCAATTCCTGACTGTGCATATGGCGACTTATCATTTGAGAGACCATTAGGAGCATCACAACGGCAACAAAGATAAGGTAAATAAAGTCAGCAACAGCGAGGTTGAGAATATACACAGTGTACTTGGTCCTCTTTATCTTAAATGAAAGAATCCAGATAACAACTGCATTTCCTAACAATCCAAACAAGCAGAAAAGAGCAGCAAAGCTAGCGACGACAGAATACGTCACTACGATACTTGCAGTCCCTGAGTTGCTGCTATTTGAAGAGCTGTTTGCCACTTGCGTCATAATGGATGGATTGACAGAAGAAATTATTTTACAAGCAACACGTGTTTTTTTCTCTTCTTCAAGGTTGTCACTCCTATAAAAGATATTGTTATGGGTTAATGAAAATGTATCTTCCTGTACAGCAGATATTTAAAAAAATGTTTTCTAATATTTATTAGATCAATAATTCTTTACTTCTCATGAGCAAAGTAAATGAAGAAAATAAGCCTAAAGACATTTAAAGGAGTATGGTCTGGTAGAAGTAAAATACCTTTTATTAAATTTGCATAGAATCATAAAATGTGCTGGTTGTCTTACACAGCAGAGGAAAAGGTTCAGTTATGCAAATAAAATTCTAATCATTAAAACATTTTTAAAAAAGCATGAAAGGTGTTGAAGAGCGCCTTGGTTGACCCACAACGTGAACCTTGTAGCAAAAATGTCTAATGTTCTAGACCCCCTCAGAAAATCAATAGAAAAGTGTGCTGATTGCAAAATGACAAGGAACAGGATTACCCACAACTGTAAAAAGAATTCCAGCCAGAAATATGTGCAATTAGTAATAAGTCTTTTTATAGTTGTTAAACATAATATATACAGTATACAGTATATGTGAATATCAGCACAGCTCATATAATGCATAAGTCCAGCATGACTTTAAACACACAACGTCTTGCTGAGTTTGCTGTATTGATTATGCGCCCAAACTCATAATGCACAGTATTGCCTTGAGTGGGCTCCCAGCAGCCATATTATCGGTGTGTGTTGAAACTGGTTAGGGAAAGCTGACAACCCTGTGTAAAGAGAGTGTAGGGAGAGATATAGTGCTATTCTGTGCTTCACAGTGCTTTAAAAAGGGCAACATTGTGGATCTCAGTGCGGTGGGCTACATACCTTTTGTGTAACCCCCAACACCACAATGTCACAGACCCAACTGTTCTTCTTAGTAATCCTTTAGATTTTTGTACCAGCATCAAGTACTACCCTTTTTTGTTTATTAGGGTCTTTTTTTCTTTCATTCAATATTCTTCTTTTCTTTTTTTTGCTAGGGCTACAGAAATAGAGTGGGCTTTTGATTTGGTGGTTTGTCTTTTATGGGTTTATATTTACAGGGAGTATTTTTTGTGTTATGTAACAGGACAGTGCAGAGGGGCTGAGATGGTCCAGAAAACATATGCAGGGTTATTCACAAAAGGGTGAAGAGTCTGGAGAAGGCAGGAGAAGTGATCAATCTAGGCCAACATAGCTGATTTGGAAAAATCCTCCAATTCAACTCACTTTCCAGTTCAGCTATATTGTCCTAGATTGTTCACTTCTCCTGCCTTCTCCAAACTCTTCACCCTTTTGTGAATAATCCTGATAGTGTTACAGGGAAGAAGCTGGGTTTCCAGTTCTTTCCGGGTTTTCTGGAGTATAACTGGGATCTGGGTCTCTGGAGATTTCTAAAAGTCTTGGGCGGGATGAAATCTCCAGTCCTGGGGCCAGGTGCAGCCAATTGCCAGGTCAGACTGTCCAGGTGGCTGATAACAGCCCTATTAAGAGAGTGGACGGAGAGGAAGAGGCAGTCAGTGGTGCAGTCGTACATGCAGAGCGTGGGAGACTGTGTGCATGTGATGCTGGAGTCTGGCTGGAGAGGCTGAGAGGGCCTGTGGCACACACAGTGTGTGGGCGAGACCAGAAGGGTTTGTGGCACACAAGGTGTGTTTCAAAAGTTCGGGAGGACCATCATCACACAAGTAGGTATGAAGCTGCTGGGTGTCTGGCCATGAGCAGGCTGAGGCTCTAACCCTGAGGTGCTGAGCCAAATCTTGGATGTTGCTGAAAGATACACCCTGTTTATGTTTGTTTGCTGAAAAGAAGCTATTTACGTTGTACTGTTTGGAAGAAAATAAAGTTATATTCGCTGATACGGCTGGCTAAGGATCCTTCAATACCCTAAACGTTACAGTTGCTAGAGCATTCTTTAAGTTTGGTGCAACATACACCTATTGCTGAACAGCTGCCCTTTGTACACAGCACACCATTGCATTTCTGTTTGTTACCTAGTTTGCACCAAAAGCACCACACATTCACCCCATTTACAATTACCATAGTTTACATTAAAGCTAACCATTCCATTCTAGCCTAGAGGGAGAAGCTGAAGAGCATCAAAAGAGAAAGTTGTGAATGGTCAGGGCACCTTACAGAATAGTAAGCATTAGCCGCACTGGCCCAAAGACAAAGGCTGCTGTTGCCACCAAGACCAATCTGCAGTGTGGGACCTTTTTACTGTGTCTGCTACATGGGTATTCTGTTATCTGTACTCTTCCATTTCCTCACTGTGGCCATTTCTCCCTCACTCCTACCCATGCCTGTTCTTTTCTCTAATAATTTTCATCCACTTCCATCCTTTATCAGTGACATTCTTTTGGAGTTCGATCCGTGCCCACTTTCCTTCTATCAGTGACATTCTTTTGGAGTTCGATCCGTGCCCACTTTCCTTCTATCAGTGACATTCTTTTGGAGTTCGATCCGTGCCCACTTTCCTTCTATCAGTGACATTCTTTTGGAGTTCCATCCGTGCCCACTTTCCTTCTATCAGTGACATTCTTTTGGAGTTCGATCCGTGCCCACTTTCCTTCTATCAGTGACATTCTTTTGGAGTTCCATCCGTGCCCACTTTCCTTCTATCAGTGACATTCTTTTGGAATTCCATCCATGCCCGCTCTTTGTTCCCATTTATTCCTGCAGTCCTCTCCTCTGTGATTATTGCCTTCTACTTCCAAAAGCATCTTACCAAATTTTGGAATGTCCAGAGTCTTCTTCAGAATTAATCAGCTGTGACACGTTCCATGGAAAATCAAACTCACTGAAAACAACAGGGAAACAATTACATTAAACAAGAGCAACTGGATATCTGGAATTTTATTTAGATAAATACATTCAATTTGAAAATGTATGTGATGCTAGGAAAAGGTGTACTGGGGACAATGTGGTAGGTCAACTGGTTCTCAAAATACCTGAACAATCCCTGCATCCAATCATATTGTTCAGGTATTTTGACAGCCAGCGGGGCCGACTAGCAAGATACCGAAGCTTGGCCCAGTGGGAGATTCCTCCATCAACACATTTTAGTGTAGATGGAGGAATCTGTTGCACTTTTCCCATCTGACCACAGAAAATCTGCAGATAATCTATAGGTTTATGGCCAGCTTTAGTGACGCCCCTGGCCCAGCCCTTTCAATATTGATTTTCAGTTCTTTCAATCATATAGGCTCATCATTACATGTAGGCATTACCTAGAGCGGTCTGCGTGCAAATACAGCCTGCCTAGAAATGCCCACGCCTCCAGACTGACATCCACCCATCAAGACATTTTGATATTTTCATACTGCTCCCAAGAGAGAGCCTACTGTTTGCATCAGGGCAGAGGGACCCTGAGAGGAGTACTGAGGCGGAGTGCTGGATGTTTTCAGGAAGCTACAGTATGTACAGCACCCTGCCAGCTCCTCATACCAGCCATGATCTGCCTGCATTGCATAGAGAAGATGGCATCACTGTCTCCAAAATATGTTATGTAATAAAAATGTAAAGGTTTTAGTTAAAAATTCCATTAGCATCTTGATGAAGAGGGAAGGGGGCAGGAACCAGGCCGGAAAAATCAAAGCAAATGAAACTTCAGCCTTATTAAGTCATGTTTCTTTTTTGTTGAGGTCAGTTTCTGTTTTGTTTTTGTTTTTGTTTTTATTGGGAAACAATGAAACCTCAAACCACAGGTCTTTTATATTTACTTTCTATCAAGTTAGAACGTGTTGCATGTAGAATAGGCTGTGAGTTGATATGATTACTGGCAATTCCCAATGATCTCCCTCTTGTTTACTCCTGGATGATACATTTATTACCTGTTTACAGTAATACACAGTTACAGATCGGAATATGACTAACTACTGTTAATGCTTCTTTAAATAAAAAGTATTCACACATATCCACATCCTTACAATTTCAACACAGGTATGTTTATTTTAGGACAGAGATATACAAATTATTTGATATGCCCTGAAACTACCTTTGCATTCTGAACGCGAGCCTCATATATCATATGCGGACATTTCTCCACCTTTCATTCAGGTTTATCAAGCTAACGATGTATCATCAATCATCCAATGAAATTATAGAACGTGGGCTCCGATGGTGTAAAGGTTGACTTGAAGAAGGATTTATTGCTCATATTTGGATTTATGGATGGGAATATTCCAATAATTCCAACTTGAAGCCAGCTCTACATCCAGGATTGCTGCTGTATTGCACAGATCATGCCATGCTGTTATTAGCTGACACATTATGCTACATATGTCAGAAAGCTTTCAATTAAAGTCCATCTAAACCCTTCGCGGACAACATCCTATTTACTAAAGCACTGCATTATAAACATCTATTATGGTTTTATCGTTTCTTTTAAATACTGTTTCACCATTTTTTATTGCATCTCAATGGTGATGCTCTCCACTAGTCTCTTTCAGCCACTTCCTGTTTATTTTCACTTGTTCCAGCATTAGTTGAAGACCATTGCCCAGGACCGTCAGGACAATGATCACAGTGGGCCAATATCTACACAATGTTTGTTGGCTCGGTGGCTTGTAGTCTCCAATGGGGGTGCTTGTGACATGGTGAAAATGCAGGAGCACAGTTGGGAGACAGTTGTCACCGCATAACAGGAACTGCCTCCACTAGGACCATCATGGCAGGATCACCCGGTAATATTTTAATATAGGTTGCATTTTTAAAAGATTGAAACTTTTTTGAGATAACATTAGGCTTACCATACACTTTACAGTGTGACTATACAATTGCTGTACAATCAACTTTAGATGTACCAATACTATGTAATATGAGGACCATCCAGAACCATCCAATCAATTTGTATAGAATTAGACAGGCCCTGGCACTACATACCTGCTGGTAGAACTAAAAAAGGATTGTATTATGTATGGTGAGTCTAACACGTTAAAGCTCATATGGGATTTTTAGTGATTGTGCATTGATGGACAATAATTATGAATGTTTACAGTTAAAGAAGAAGATCCATTAAATCACATGGAGGG